CAAATAAATAATTTTTTTTTTTTTTTTTTTTTATTGCAATGAAAAAAAAATCTCTTGCTGATTTTTAAACATGCCAGTATGTCGCTGCCAATCCAAAGCTTACATTAAATATGAAAAAAAAGCACAAAGGTTGCACAATAGATTTAAGTTATCAGGTAATAAGATCGTAGAACTTTACTCTTTCATATAAAAATTTGATTTCTTACAGCAAAATATATGTAAAACAAATCCCACGTAAGACTTCGCTCTAGAACCAACGTTATGGTACAAAAGTAATTTTAAACTTTTGTTATTTAAAGAGTCGGGCAATTTGTCCATATCTGCATTTCAGTAAATTCCTCATAATAAATCACCTGAACTGTGTATATAAAATGCTTTTGTATACAATATTAATACAAATATTTCGTTGCACATGATATAAAAGTTGACTTATTAACTAATGCCCATGTATTATTTATTAATTAAAAAAATAATTATAGGAATTCAAGGTTCGTTTTTCACTTAAGATTTCGCAAAAATGTGATTTTCTTGCTTGTGCGCTTCATTTCTCTGAAGTGATTGATTAGAAATTCAAGAAATTTTGATTACTTGTGTAAACTCTATAAATGCATAAAATGGCAAATTATTATGCTTATGACATAAAATCTTTTTGAACTAAAATTAAATTTGAAGTCATATGAAAATTTCGACCTCTTACTTTTCGTTGTCTCAATTAAATTTACAATGATTATGTTATGCAGTACTGTCTAAATGTAAAAATATGCATACTTCTATTTTTCTTTATTAAGAAAACTGCATTTACAGGATTTCGTGAAATTATATCTTTAAGTTATCTGCCTTATCTATAATTTTCCTGTCCGATTTTTCTGAAACCATTAGTCAGAATTTTAAAAAATGTTGCCTAGTGAATCTTAAGTCATTTTAAAATAACCAACTAATATTTGTCTTTCCTAAAAATTTTAGGATACTTTTATATTATCCCATCGACCGGCCATCAGAGTCGTAGCTAGGGTTTTCAGCGCCCAGGGATAACTGAAGATTTCGCGCCCCCTACTGCTTGCCAAGGATGGAAAACATTTAATTCTAAAATGCCGTAACATCAGTTTGGCGCCCCTTGGATTCTGCGCCCGGGGACAGATGCCCCTCTTGCCCCCCTCTAGCTACGCCCCTGCCGGCCATGTAGCGCGATTTAGCGCCAAATATGGATGGCCATGTCCTTTAGAATTCCGCAGGAATAACGATTGGTGACCGTTGTCGAAATTTCCGCTAACAGTCAACGGGATAATTCATTCCAATTTTAGAAATTATCTTTAATTTTATATTAAAAAATTTGTTGAATCTGAATTTTCAAAAAAAAAAAAAAAAAAAAAAAAAAAAGATAAAAACTACCTAACTTTATTTTTAACGTAGGACGTTTTAATTGCATATTATTTATATAATTTTAAAAAATTCAACTGAAATTAGTGAACTGTTTATCCACAATGCTACGCATATCATGTATGACAGTATTAAGTATATGACAAAGAAGGTGTTTGATTTAAAATATTTCATTATTTCGACCATAAAACAAAAGTAGCAAACACAATATCAAGGCTATCGAATAAGTAAGTACACACAATCATCAACTAGTTAATTACAGAGATATTGAGCTTTAAATTTTGTTATATTTTCGACATATTTTGGCATTTGAAATGTGACTAACTCCTTAAATATTTATCATTCTTCCCACATTAACGCATATCTAATGCAAATATTTCGCTAATCTGCATTTGTGTATTGAAATAGCTTAAAATTTTGTATAGCAAGTTAATAATTACACGTCGTTCTTCTAAATTATCATGAAGATATGGTTTTGAGCTGAAATGCCCATGCTTTTCTGGCTTTGTGGAAATGCCATTAAACATCGTTAATTGAGTGATAGTGCAAGCAATTAAGACAATTTTTGGTCCAACCGCGGTCATAATTCGATGACTCTCTGTATATATTTTTTCCCGGAAAAGTATGTGTGTATTTGTGTATTTAATTATGGCAAAGCACACTAGGGCTATCTGCCTAAGGGGAGGGATGCCTTTCGTGGAGGACTTTCCAAGGGAAACTGGCTCGTATATACGTTACACATGGGGAAAACCACGAAAACACCCATGCAGCCAGCCCGTTCGCGGGATTCGAACCTCGGACCGAACTACCAGTGTATTTTTGGCGAGAATTTTTGGAGATATAATTTTCTTGAAAAGTAATTCATTAAAAAATCATTTAAGCATCATTTACATTTTAACATTCTCATGACACCATTCAAGCATTGTTATAATGCTGCAAACATTTTATGATTTATTTATGCATTAGTTTTTCAGTTGTATGGCAGAATAAGTTTGTAGAATTCACATTATCATTAAAAGCAACATGGATAATATTTCATTGTGATAAAGCTATTTCAGTTACTACATAACTTCAAAATTTATCTCGGAAACTATTATCTGAAGTAATTATTTTTAATCTACAAGTTAACAGTACAGTAGATGATTTTCAGTTTTGATCATGAATAAGCAGTATCAGAATTTACCCTCTTCGCAGATGATTCTTTTTATGTTAAAGAATTATTTATTTCAAAAATAAAATAATATTGATGCTACCATATGATGGTATTTCAGTTTTTCTCGTAGTGAAATTCTGTAATGAATAGTTGTTGATCATGTTTTAATAATTTTCTACCACAATTAATCGATTTTTCTTTATAGTCATTCTTCTTCTTCCCCGCCCCTCTTCTTTTAAATACACATTTATCGGTACTTTTAAAGATTAAAGGAAATGTTTGGTATCTTCTAAAAAATAAGATTTTAAATGAATATTTCTAGATTTCGAAAATTTTTAGCCCAGAATTAGTCACGAAACGGCATTTTGCGTCGAATCACTTTAAAATATCCGAATCACTTTTCAAATTAAATTTTAATTAATTTTTAAAATTATTATTTCACCAAATATTATCGCCCTGTATTATATTTAAAGAAACTAAATAATGAAGAATCTACATGATTGTATGTATGTTTTCGCATTGGGAAAGAACAACGGTACCTAGAGTCATCAAATTCTGAATAACATAGTCCTCCACCCGAACATAGGCAACTGGAAGCCCGAATTTGGAATTTGGAGTTTTTTTATCGTCCATTTCATATTTTGTAAGACATTAAGGAATTTTTTATTAAAAAAAACTCAACAATTTCAAAGCAAGCAGTGGCAACACTGTAGGGTATAAAACATTTTTATATCCAGTGCGCGAGACTGTTTATCGAAAATTCTAAAGATATGCTGTTTTTAAATATTTTTAGCACAATGTGGCTTTAGCCCAAATGCTCTCGAAACGTGTATGTGTCTGTAAACGAAAAAAACGCCCATTTGGACGAACTATAAAATCTGAAAGTTTTCATAATTTTTTTCCCCTTTCTGTATCCTAAGATTGTACGTTATTAAAATGCAGGAAAATGTACGCAACAGAATAATGAATGTCATTGTATCAAGAATAGTTATTAATTAGTTAATTAGACAATGCATTCAGTGGGTTACCTGCTTAATATAAAAGATATTTAGAAGAATTATATGAAGCGTTATTGGAGCTTATAATTGCTTAAGGTGACTGGCTGCATGTACCTGCCAAGAAAAATTACCAGCGTTTCACACTTTGGGTCGCTTGAGAAATTCAGAAAATTCTTACTTTAGATATATTGCTCGATATATATGTGAGGAACTGGCTGTTTACGGCAATACACGGGTTTTAAAAACGATTTTTACGCATGAAGGTCTAGATGTGCTTATATCGGTTCTAGTTGTAACACAGTTCGACTATAATTTTATGGGCAGATTTTTCTTTGAGATACTTTACTTATCCCACAAGAGAAGAAAAACAACAAGTTCTATCAAAATAATGAGTAATTGGTCAAGAATTTTGTTCTCCCTCCCCTCGTCGACAAATACTGATGCATATAAATTTTAAAAAAATTTCTAATAAAATAATTCCTAATAATTAATCTTTTTAAATTTGCAGTCGTTTACGCTATAATTATTGCAGTAATAAATAATTATGAAATAAATGTGAAATAATTAATTGATATGTTTAAATCGATAATTTTGTTTAAAACGGTTTAATTGATAACTTTAATTTTATATACTGAAGATATTTCAATGAATAATTTTCGGATTAATTTAAATTTTCTGTAAATTATATACTTAATAGTTTACCTAACTTAAATCTTTCTCAATTACTTATTTCACAATAACAATTTATTAATTGTAATTGGGTACAATTTATTTAAGAAAAGTTTTTCAAATTGCTATTCACTAATTTAAGCACTTAATAATAATTTCTTATAACTAAAATATGCTATTTCTTGGAACGATTTCATTATTAAGTTCCGTGGAATGTTTTACTGTTAATTTATGTACAATTAACTCCCGATTTATTGCATAATACGAGGTGACGAGTCCACTCTTACTTCAAAAGTCACAGTTAATTTTACAGCTGCTAAAAAACGCAAGAAAAAGGAGTAACTCTTAATATAAAAACAGATTTGTATTTTTAAGTAAAAGAATCTGGAGAATAATTTAATTTGATTACATAAATTAAATCAGTATTCAAAACAAAAAGAACATTTGTAAACAATAGAAGAAAATATAAATAAAGAAACCCTAGTCATTAATTGGCGTTAAAGAACAGTACTTTTTGTTTGCGATAGTAATTTTCCGATGGTTCGCAATAAGCAAATTTATTTTTATTTTTCTTAAATAGGGCTCGGTTAATTAGTTACCAGTAAATCGGGAGTTGATTGTAGTTAGCTCCTCTTTCCCTCCATCAAGATCGGTTTTGAAAAGATTACCTTAGATCCGCTTAAGCTACAATTAAGCTGATGGACAACCATGTCTGCAACTAAACTACATGAGTTGTGGTCTGGTATAATAAACTACTGCATAAATTTAGTGGTTTCAAAACCGTAGATGTTCATATTTTTTACCTTCGCAATATTCCTGGAAATCTTCGCAGCAGTCTCCAACTCTGAGACAGGCATGGTCACAGTAGCAAGGCTTTCCATGTTCATCTGAGGTGATAGTGTTGAATAAGACAGAATTACGAGGTACCACACAGTTGCTGTCCCTACCGGGGCAGCACAGCCCTGCTTCTCTACATGAGCCTCTTCTCCTGGCCCCGGTACACACGGCCAGTGCAACCAAAATCAAGAGATGAACCTTCATAATCAAGCTCCTCGTGTTCTGCCTTTGAATGAGAAACTGAATGCTTCTTCCTAACCACCTCAGAAAACTGTGGGGATGTCTTTTTTTCTAGCTTCACTTATTTAGTCCCCCTTCAGCTATCACTCCTTCGGAGACTGCCAACCCACCCCCTTCTCTATTTTTGTTTTCTTCTTTTCTTTCCCTCCTCCCGTCATTCGTGTCTTTTGGGGTTGCTCGGAAGTATAATTTATCGCCAAAACACACGCCAGGATTAAAATGTAGGGCGCTTAACAAATGCGACATTTGCTATTCTGTTCCGAAATAGATTAAGAGGTCTGGGTCGATGGGTTGGGTTTGGAAAAGAATGCAAAACGGCCCCTTTTATTGAGTAGAGTGAGTATTTTGATTCTTTCCTCCCTTTTCGGACGTGCAGTGAGGGTGGTCTGTCATTCAAGATCTAAGTAGATCGTTATTTCGAGAATATTGGTCGTTTGTTAACAGAAAAAGACATCAAGGGACAGCGGGAGCTTCACAACAGAGTTTCGGCGCCCTTAGGACCAAAACAGTTGACCTTTGAACCCTGACTATGACTTCGTGTTATCTCGAATTCTGTTTTATTCTAGAAAAAATACTTCCTGAATTTTATCGATTCCATCTTAATTTCTTGGAAATTTCTTTAAACTGTGGCGTATTAATTCTTTGGCTGGTCTTAGCTCTCGTTCTTTTTTTTTTTTTTTTTTTCGGGGCAGAGGGGAGAATTGATATTTTAATTAATGAATTACCATTATACATCATATTTACAAAATCTTCGTATAAGTTTAAACATTAATTACTTTTGGATATGCAAGTAACATAAAATTCTAACTTTAATTTGCAATAGCCTCTTAAGTATCCTTTATAATTTGGCTTTTTTATTTCTTTTTTCTATAATTCTGTGAATATGTGAATAATAAATTAATAAATATGGAATATAAGGTGAGCGTTTTGTACCAGTTAAGCTATGCATGGTTTCAGAATTTGTAAATTTTTGTTATTTGTTACAATGCGTCAAAATAAACAGTGGATACATGAAAGTTTTTAAAATTCGTGGCATTTATTTTATGCTGAAAATGAGAAAAGTCTGAAAGCTTTCCACGAAGAACTAGGATGAACTATGGACTTTTTTCTAAATGGATTAGATTGAAGAATGAAATTTTAGCAGGAGTGAGAAATGTATCTATTTTAAAAATATGCGATACTATATTTTACATCCAATACCTTTAGCAATTTTCCTTAGCTGCGAATTTCATACTTTACATTTTTCATATAATAATAATAATAATATACCTGTTAATTATTCACTGTTTTAAGCTCCTTTTTTTAAACTTTATTTATTTATTTATTTATTTATTTTCCTTTTGAAGGTGAAAGGAGGTGATATGTAAGAAAAAATTCTAATTTCAATTTGTAATGACTAGTTTTCTTTTCGTAAATTAAGTCTCTTTTTATTTAATCTTCTCTTTTTTTTATTCTTTTGATCCTAAACCCATTTTACGTTCACGTCAGTGTTGTTGCATTCCCGCTATCAGTTCTTACCAAAACTGTTAGATGGCGCTATGTTCGTTTACTCTTTAGAACAAACACTGTAGAATTTTTATTGCAGAATATAAGTGCACTCTTCTATCAAATTTTCCCAAATATTTCGTAAACGGTAATGAAATCGGCGAAATTGAAAGCTTATTTCCGAAAAAAGACATAGTCAACTTAGTAATTCGATGTTTTTTTTCACTTTTTCAAATTATTCATTTTTACTAATACATATTTTATGTTACAACTTTTTTTTTTTTTTTTTTCAAATTATTTTTATTGAGTTTAATCAGTTTAATATTCGCTGTTTATCTAAATTAATTACTTTACACATGTTCGGCTTTGCTACTGTACTACTAAAAGTATATAATTTGCTACCTAATTGCTATATATTTGAAAAGTACCTAATTATTGCACTTTATTTTAGCAAAGTAGTATATACTTTTATAACTTGTTAATATTTTATATTACATTATATATGTAATATATTATATGTTGTATGATCTTAAATTTATTTAGTGCTAAAACAAGTTACTACTACTTGCGCAATTGCTGCAAAGTAAGTTAATAATAATTTATTTCCTAAACAATATGATTAATTGATTATATTATCTCCTAAGTTTAATTAAAATAGAATTATTTTAAATATATTTTTTCATTTCAACTTTTGCTGCTCTTGTGTTACAGATTTTAAGAATTAGCTCCTCTATTTTTTATATTATATTTTTTTAGATAAAACTTTTATTTATTTCATTTATTTTTCCATATGTTGGATTACTTCTGTTTTACATGTTTACTCAAATTTACAGTCTACTCAAACTGTAAATATTTATGCTTTATTGCTTGTTTATGATTGATGTTATTATCTTTTTAACCCGGCCTGTATGTTTTCAAAATTTGCATAGAGTTTTGTTTCTTCAAATATTGTATTAAAAACCTTGCTTATGGTTTCGTTTCCAATTATTGGATTATTATTTTTGGAAGTTTTGTATTTGGTCTCGATCTGCTTTAAATAACTGTACAAATTTGTGTATTTTTTCGCAATCTTTTTGAATGAGTCTATGTTTCTGATGTTATAATTTTGCAATTTTTTGCACTGTTTACTTCGGCCTGTAAACGTTGGGCTGATAAAAACATTAAACAACAGTTATTGGACGCAGATAAAGACTCACTTGTATTATTCTCTTAAGATTATTTTTAAAGTTTAAACTAATGCATGTCTTTGTCAGTTCAGAAATGAGTTGTTTTACTTACTCACTTCTTTCGTTGCACCCACAGTCTGATGACGATGCAGCGAAAGATGTTCAGTTTCATATTTCTTTTATGGTTTTGGCATATTTTGCACCTCCAATTTCTTGCAGTTCGCCACTGTGCTTCTGGTCTTTTGGTTTTTGCAAGTTATTTATTTCGAACTGAAATGTACCTACCTTGAAGTTTAAACATATTTTCATTTTATTTTGCATTATTACCACCATTTGTTGCTAGTATCAGCGCGCAGTTGGATTAGGTTTTCAACTGTTTTTTACTTTGTATCTATTGATTATTTCGACAATTACATACTAATTAAATACTATATAATTGTTTGGACAGTTGCTATAACCCGTGAAATGGACAAAAGGCTACTGCATCGTTAATTCTATCAACTGTGAAAGGACAAAAAATGTCAGTGTATCGAAAAGTGAAAGTGCATATCAAGTTCGCATCCTGTGTACATGAGCTCACAATCTATGTGATTGATATGTTACCGTGAAAGACCGAAATTGGAGAATAGCGACTTTCACCGGAGAATGTCAACGTTCACCAAATACGTCGGTGAAAGATCGAATATTGCATTACATTCTTGTGCATTCGGACCCTCACCGGTGTATGTCGACAGTCACAGATATGTTCTGGTGCAGGTCCAAAAGAGAGGTCATAAAGTATCATAATAGTTTAAGTTGCTGCAATAAATAAGATTTGAATCACATAATTTAGTTAGTTTTTTATTACTATTATTTCATTTTCTCATTTAGAGCGTACTGTATAATTAAGTAAGTTTTTAACTTCTATTATTTCATTTTCTCATTTAGAGCGTACTGTATAATTAAGTAAGTTTTTAACTTCTATTATTTTCCTTTCTCATTTTGAATGTACCGTGTGTTCTTAAGTTCTTATTTTAACTCTCAAGTGCGTTTTTTCGCGACTGAATTACGGAGAAGAAAATATAATATTCTTATATGTTGAACATTCACCATTAGTACATGGGGAATGTCGACATTAACCGGTGTAAGTCAGAAATAAGAGTATTTGGAAAATATTTCGGACATACACCAAGCGACTAGGTGATTGTTGACATTCACCGGTGAAAGTCGACATTCTCCGGATTTCGGTGTTTCACCGTAACAGATATAATACATCCAAGCACCCTTTTATTTGACATTTTTAAGAAATATGGCTTTTGTTTAGACATAAAAAATAATGAATTGCCCACCTCTAACAAAGAAAAACCTATCCTTGGAGTGGGTGAAAATGAATTGATAAAGATAATTGTTCATGAACGTATTACTAACCCTTTTAGAACGAAATGCATCATTAGCATATAAGAATTACTAATTTTCGTAAGAAAAAACAGCTGTTAAATGCTGTAAACAGCTGTTAATTGCGTTTCCATAGTGGATTATAGAAAAGGAAAAGTACCGGTCAGAGCTGCCAACACTGAAAGGCCACGTTAGAAAATTGCTCCATGCTTCCTTACGACAAGCATCGTGCAAAGTTCCATTGATCAGACGCGTACTTAAATCGAATTAAATTGTTTTACCTGAAAGTTCAGGACTAAATCTTAATCAAAATCAAGCTGCAAATCTTTTAAGAGAGAAATTTAAGGATATATTTTCTACTTCATCTACTGGTACTGGTCTCGCGAATGCGACACAAATGCGGATCGACACTGGAAGCCATTCCACCTATTGAGCAATATCATCGACATCTCCCTTTCGTTAAACAAGAGTTAAGTCTCAAAACTCCTGAAGAAGATGCAGGACAACAATACCATTGAGCCTTTGTCTAGTCCTTGGTCATCATCTATGAGATGCTTAGGTTTTAATTTGCAAGAAAGACTGCTGCACGCGATTTTCTGCCGACAGGTATGTATGACATTGCGAAAGAAGACTATTACCCTTTGCCTGGAGTCGACATTTCAGAGAAGCTAGCAGAAAACAAATCATTATTTGGACCTGAAAAGCGGCTCCTGGCAAGTGAAAAATAGATTCCCAAAATTGTGAGAAGTTTGCGTTTTACTATTGGCCAGAGATCCTAGTCGTTTAAAGAAATGTCGTTCGGACTCTGCAAAGCTCCATCATCCAGCTAAACTCCAGCAATCCTTTTAGAATCGTCTCCGTTAATAGGCGATTCTAAAAGGATTGCCAGATGAAGATTATTTCCAAAAGGATGGCCATATGAAGATTATTTCTAGAAGGATTTCCATACGATGATTATCTCTAAAAGGACTGCTATATGAAGATTGTTTGCTCTTATAATTATGACAGTCGTGATGCCTTGGATCTCGCATTTGCGAGCTCGGATATCTTCTCAAGTTG